CTTTTTTTTTTTTTTTTTGGTAGAGGTTTTTGTCTTAGGGTGTGTGTGTTCACTGGAGAGAGAGAGACAGAGACAGTGAGAGGTAAAGTAAGAAGCCACCCCTCAGGGAGATGGCCACACTGCAATCAATCCCTTCTCCTCCATTCTCTTCCTAGCATCTTGGGCACGCATGCACATGTGTCTAGCATGAGTTAAAAGCCACTGGTCTGGGACTTGAACTGTTATCAGCCGTGTGGGAGTCTAGCAACGTAACTGCTTTGCCATCTGCTGGCCCCTCTGCTTCCTTTCTGTTCCCTTTGTCCAGGCTCTCATCCTGCCTTTCTTGAACTACTCTATCAGGTTTTCTAACCCCAGTCCTACTTCTGGTCTGCAGGCTGTGCCATACATTGCACCCAGAGAGATCTTCCTAAAAAAGCAAACATCACTCCAACATTTCTCTTTTTTTCTTCTCTTTTTTCCTAGCACTTTTTAATGTATATCATTACAGCATATACCACTGTATATCATTACAGCATACCAAATGTATTTTTCCCATCATGAATACACTGTATATTGATTCAAATATATTACCATACTTATCTTCTCTCAAAACCTTTGAAATATTCCTTCATTTCCTGCCGAATGTAAGTCTGGATTTGCGGCATAGAGAACTGGGTTTGTCAAATGCTTGCTATAGGACACGTGTGCTCGCAAGAGAGACAGAGACAGACAGGGAGAAATCCCCCCCCCACACACACACACACACCAGGGGGAATGGCCACACCACAATCCCTCCTCCTCCAGTCTCCTCTAGGGTGTTTGGGCATAATGCACATGTGCCAGGTGTGAGTTTTAAGCCACCAGGTCCGGAAGTCAAACCGAGGTCAACTATGTGGAGTCCAGCAATGTAACTATTACAGTATCTGCTGGTCCCTTTATTTATTTATTAAAAATAGAGAAACAGCAGTACCTGAAAATTACATACAAAATATTTCATGTTGCTTTACCTTTTGGAATTTATATACCTAGTTTTTTTTTTCTTTTTTTTCTGTTTAATAGTTTAATATTCAGTTTCAAAAAGTTATAATATTCAAAGAAGCCTCTTTTATTTAATTCAACGAACATGTACTTAGTAACTAACTAAAGTATGCTATATATTTGCCGAGAATACAGATATGAAATATTTCTCTTTTGGGGCCAGCAGGTGGCATAATGGTTAAGGCGCTGGACTCCCACATGGTTGATTGAGTCCTGGATCTGGCCACTTGACACTTATGCCAGACTTGTGTGTTTGCGTGCCCAAAATCCCGAGAGGTAAATGGAGGGGAAAAGATTAAAGGGTGGCCACCACCCCCCCGGGGGGGGTTATTTCTCACTTTTTGTCTCTCTGTCTCTGTCTCTTCAATGAGCACAGGCACTCTATAGCAAAAATCTCTCAAAAAAGAAAAGAAAAAAAGAATTCTCTTCTAAAAAGTATTTGTGATAATGAAAGACCTTCAGTGAAATGTCAAACATTGATATACCTGCCTTTATAATGTAAACATGCTCGCATTGTCAGATTTTAAGAAGAATTCGTCAATGTGTAAGAATGTTATTGTAGAGACCCCAAGGTAGAAAGAGCATGAGCTTCAGAGTCTCATGTCTATGAATTTGATTTCTAGTGTCATCACTGACTGGTGATGGGAGAACGTACCTTATCCTTCATGGCCTCAACTTCTGTGTCTATGTAGACTTAGTAAACTTAGTGCACAGGGTTGTTTGCAGGAATAAACGGGAACATGTTTCAAAAGCACTTAGCACAGGGGACCAGCAGTTAGCGTAATGGCTATGTCGCTGGACTCCCATGTAGTCGACCGCGGTTCGTGTCCCGGACCCGGTGGCTTAAAACTCACACTGGGCGCGTGTGCATGCATACCCAAGATCCCGAGAGGAGAATGGAGGAGAAGGGATTGTGGCGTGACCATCCCCCCTGGGGGGTGATTTCTCGCTTTCTGTCTCTATGTCTCTCTCTGTCTGTCTGGCGAGCGCACGTGCCCTATAGCAAAAACCTCTCCAAAAAAAAAAAAAAGCACTTAGCACAAATGGTAGATAGTCAAATAATTGGTAATCATTATTGTTATTGGTGCTGTTTTTATTGTTAAAAACATGGATTCAGGCTTTTCCTCAACTTTGCATTCTTTCTAGTCAAATGACAACTTTCTTCTTGCCACATATCGGTGCCAAGCAAATACCACAAGACTGGAACTCAAGGTAAAAATGTTAGAAATAACCTTTATTTAAATATTTGAACTTTCTTTTTTCCCCCTTAGTGTGTGTGTGTGTGTGTGTGTGTGTGTGTGTGCTTATGTATATATTTTTTCTTTTTAATACCCTCTTGCTATAGGGTATATGTGCTTGCATCTCCGGAGGGGATGGCCATGCCACAATTCCTTGTCTTCCATCGGGTATGCACACACACGCACCCGGCATGTCTTCCTGGCCAACAGGCCTGGGAGTTAAACCAGAGACTGTTGAATCCAGCACCCTAACCACTATGCCACCTGCTGGCCTATCCCCTTGGTATATTTCACACCATCTGATTTTTCTTGGCCTTGAATTTGTCCCTAAAATGAGTCACTCTGGGGTAATGAATTTGAATGACTAGTTAGGTTTTAATTTAACCCAAGCCACTCTCTCTGCTATTAGCCCTCAGTCAATCATCTTTTCTAAAATTATTGATTTTAAAATTTCCTCTAGTTGGTGGGGACCAGCAAGTGACATGGTGGTTAAGGTGCTGGACACTCCCATATGGCCGACCACGGTTCAAGTCCCAGACTTGGCAGCTTGCTTTCTCACTTTCTCTCTCTCTTCTCAAATAAAATAAGTGAATGAATAAATAAATAATTAAATAAAAATATTTCTAAAAAAAAAAGTTTCCTCTAGTTGGAATTTTTTCCCTTATTTTCTATTATGGAAAGTTTCAAACAATTAAAGCAATAATCCTCATGGATTTACCTATTTGCAGTTATGATCAACTCATGGCAGTCCTTGATTGGATATTATTACTTACCACCCAAATTACTTTTAAGCAAATATAAGATATTTATCATTTCATTTATAAATATTTCAAAGTATATGTTTAAAAGTACTCTTTTTAAAAACATAACTCCTGGGATTAGCAGATGGTGTGATGGTAACATTGCTAGACTCCCATGTAGTCAACCATGGTTGAGTTCCAGACACGGTGGCTTAAAATTTACTCCAGGTATGTGTGCATGTGTGGGTGCCCAAAATCCTGAGAGGAGAATGGAGGAGAAGGGATTGAGGCGTGGCTATCCCCACTGAGAGGTGATTTCTCGCTTTCTTTCTCTCTGTCCCTCCAGTGAGCACACACACCCTATAGCAAAAATATCTTTTTTTTTTTTTTTTTTGGGGGGGTTTTTTCTTTA